CCAGGATTATGATACAATGGGGTTCGGGATCACTCCAGGAAACGGGATCCCACCAGTATATTAAACTAATTCATCTTAGTATACCTAACTAATGAATTCATCTTAGTATACCAAACTAATGAATTCATCTTAGTATACCTAACTAATGAATTTATCTTAGTATACCTAACTAATGAATTAATCTTTGTATACCTAACTAATGAATTTATCTTAGTATACCTAACTAATGAATTCATCTTTGTATACCTAACTAATGAATTCATCTTAGTATACCTAACTAATGAATTCATCTTAGTATACCTAACTAATGAATTCATCTTTGTATACCTAACTAACGAATTCATCTTTGTATACCTAACTAACGAATTCATCTTAGTATACCTAACTAATGAATTCATCTTAGTATACTTAACTAATGAACTCAACTTAGTATATGTATTAACGAATTCATCTTTGTATACCTAACTAACGAATTCATCTTAGTATACCTAACTAATGAATTCATATCAGTACACCTAACTAACGAATTCATCTTAGTATACCTAACTAATGAATTCATCTCAGTACACCTAACTAACGAATTCATCTTAGTATACCTAACTAATGAATTCATCTTAGTATACCTAACTAACGAATTCATCTTAGTATACCTAACTAACGAACTTAACTTATTATACTTACTAACTAACTCATTTTTGTTTACTTAATGAAATGAACTCATCTTAATTTACTTAACCAAATAACTCATCTTGGTATACCTAAGTAACTTACTTAAATTAGTATACCTAAATAACGAATTTATCTTGGTATATTTAGTTAACGAATTTAACTTAGTATACCTAACTAACTAAATCAACTTAATATACCTAACTAATGAATTCATCTTGGTATACCTAGCTAATGAATTCAAATTATACACCTAACTAACTCATCTTAGTATACCTAACTAAAAAGCTCAACTAAGTATACCTAATTAACTAACGCATCTTAGTATACAAAACTAACAAAATCAACTTAGAATACCTAACTAACTAGCTCATCTTAGTATAGGCCTACCTAACTAACAAATTCAACATAGACTACCTAATTAACGAATGAGCGGAGTTGTCTAGTGGGTACATAAGTCGTTATGAGCGCTTTGAGGTAGGACGGTGCCAGGTCATGAAAGCAGCGGTGGCACAGAGTTGCACATTTTTTACTCAATGCGAGCGCGGACCGGTAGCCAATGCAAATCTCTCAGAATTATAGATGTGGTTGACTTTGTACCTTCGAGCCTTTGGGGACGGAGCGTGTTTTTTAAATAAACTTTATTATTATTATTGTTATTATTATTATGTGCTTTTTTTTTAAATTTTAGCCAGGAGCGTAGCTGGAAGACCCACCATGAGAGCATTGCAGAAGTCCATGCGTGATAGCTTGAAATGCAGACATCAGTCTATTGGTTGCATCAAACGTTAAGAAAGGTCTGATAACACTAATTCTTCGCAGCTCTAGAAAAATCGCCTTGCAAAGCATGTTAGTGTGATTTTCCATAGTTAGTGTTCTATCCAATTATACACCCACGTTTCGCACTGTTTGAGAAACTCAATCTGTATACCTGAGAGAGTAAGGGATTGGTGTTATTTACAGATTTTAGATTTTGAACGGTAGCAATGGGTATCAGCTCGGTCTTTTCATCATTCAATTTGAGCTTGTTCATGTTCATGCAGTGCTTAAATGACTCCACTGTCTTCTGTGTCATACTAAGCAGCTGAGGAAACTGAGAGGGGATCACAGACGGCTGAAGTTGTGTATCGTCCGCGAACATATGATATAGCATGTCAAACTGATTGATCACTGCACCCAGGGGCTGAACATACATAGTGAAAAGCACCGGGCCTAGGACCGAGCCCTGGGGTACTCCAAATTCGATAATAGATTGATTTGAGGTCAAGCCATTTGCGATAACTGATTGGACCCGATTTGTCAGATACGAGCGGAACCATCTCAGGATGGTATCGTTAAAACCGAACGTTTTTTGCAGACGTTGGAGAAGTATGCCGTGGTCAAACGTATCGAATGCTGCCGATAGATCAAGTTACGACAAAAGGGATACCTACCCCTCACCACAAGATGACAGAAGGTCATATATGACGCGCAACAGAGCTGTCTCAGTAGAGTGATGGGACGTGTATGCTGACTGGAAAGGCTCGAACAAGTCACACTGAGTGAGGTGGTTCAGGAGCTGGCGGAGAAACGACTTTCTCTAAAAATTGTGGATACAAATGGTAGATTTTAAACGGGGTGATAAAGTTCCAACATATTTGGACCGAGATTTGCTCTCTTCAGCAGTGGAGCTACAACTACCTCTTTAAAAGAAGATGGAACAATACCAGTTTTCAATACAAGTCTCAACACCAAACCCTTCAGGTAGATCCAAAGTTAATTAGTTGAGAGGTATGCCCTTCCCCTATTTGGTGCCGCAGGGGCTAGAAGTCCAATTTACTTATATGGCAATATGGTATCTCCATAATAAAGTACTTTTTTTCAGTTGTTACCAATCTGAAATTAATGAGTGCCACCAAGCTAGCTAGACGGACCATAGCACAGAAACAAATTATCGCGAGGTCAGTAGATTTCCATCAATATTTAAGGCATATTTTGTCCCATTGAAACTCTTCAGTATTCACATATAACTCTTGGGATATATGAGAGAAAACTAATTAAACAACACCTAAAAGAAAAGTAATTCGTCTAAATCCTTCATAAAATAAGTATCGAGCAATGGACGCACTTTATAGAGCTCGTCCCCACGATGCTCGGAATCGCACATCTTTTCACGCCCCTGAACTTTATTAATATTTTAATGACCCACCAGCTTTTACACCGCACATTTTTTCACCGTATAATTCATTGTTTTGGGCGATTTTCCTTCATGCTCACCTTTGTGGAACAGGATTAACTGATTTTTGGAGGTTGGGGTGAAAATTTGATATAATGTGATTTCTTCCGCAACGAGTCTATGGGCAAAATTTCAGCACGATAGCTTCATTGGAAGTGGATTAGGTAGCCGTCCGTGGAAGTGGGTTAGGTAGCCGTCCGAAGATTTTTCCATCCAGCCAGCCACGAACAAAAGCAAGGTTTATATAAAGGTTTTTTTTTTAAATATTAAATAACCTTTCTATTTACAAAAATGTGTCGCCTGTCAATGCAATTAGGGCGCATATTTTTTTGATTTTAAAGCTATGAGATGAATCCTACCATCCTCGATGTATTTATTCATTTCTGCTGATTTTTTTTTTCAGATTTAACAAATAAAACAAAAAGTTTTATCAATTAGGATCAACAAATCGTTTTAAAAGAAAATCACTGTAAAATTTAATTTGACGCTCAACAATTATGATTAATACCGGTATGGCTGAACTTGCTCTCATATTTTTTACCGTGTCCATGTGACTCTCCTATTAAGAATACCTGTTGTAAGTGTTGAGATTACTGTTTGACTTATTACTATGTTAACGATTACCTTCGTCATGCGTAGCCGTAAAAGTGACCAGAGGGTGTCAGGTAAATATTAGAATAACAGAGAGGTGTTGTTATCTTTTCTTTTTTAGTACATAGTATTACTTTTAGGTTGTTCATGTATGGAAAAACAAACATTGATTACAGTAAATGTTATCGTAGAGTGCTATGTTTCCAACGTGATGGACATTTAATTTTTAAATTTTCATTAAGAAATGTCGAGATATTGCAACCACCTTCTCCCCATGAGCTAGAAATACTTTTTTTTTTTTTGGTATTAAACTGATCAATAAATGTCACATAATCTAGTGAAGTGACTACTAATTTTCATTTACTCTGACTGTTTGCACCCAAATTAGTTTTTAGAGTTTGCAGTCTGAAGAACAAAAGCAAATTTAAAAACACTCTTGAGATAAATTGCCAAAACTAAATTTGGGCAGAAACGCGACAATTAAAAAAAAATGGTGGTATATTCGCCCTACTTAAAGCTGATCGACCAGATCTCATGTAAATGATCCCCCACCCCTACTTAACCCCGGATACCACTTGATATTAGGGTCAGTGTCCACTTACCACCAAACATCATGTCGCTCATTACCAGGCCATTGTTCAGGTCTTGGCGTCACACCAGTTGGACAACAGTTAAGGCAAGCTAACGCTCAGCATCGGTAGATTTTTTAATCAGGTCAAGGAGGTGATATAACAAGTTTGTTAAGGATCTTAAAAAATAAATTTTTTATTAATGCATCTTTACCGAAGACGCGTTTTTCATAACACATTGTAAAAGAAAGTGAGTGGAAACCGCATTGCATGTATAGATTTTTAACACAGCTTTTTAAGTATCGCTTTTATCTTGCCCATCAAATAAATATAATGTTTAACATAATAATATTATGACGTGGATTAGTAGATTTAGAGTGTGCTGCATGTGTTTGAGTTATTATAGTGAAAATTATTACTTTATTAATGATACAAAATTCTAACAGTAATCACTATACATATACATATGCATAAACAGTAAATTTAAATTAAAAATATCCATAGAATCACACTTGAACGACAAGTAAATATATAACATTGCTCTTCTTGCATTGAAATATCGTTAAATAATAATAAATGAAGTATTTTAATGTCTTCTTATTTCTTTGTTTGTCCTGTCTCTGGGGGAGGGCACATAATCGAACAATTTTCTGCTTCTGTCCGGTCTTTCTGTTTCCAGCTTCCACATATGCCTACCTCCTTGTTCCTCTATTTCGTTAACTATTAAGCGAAACTAACAAGAAAGTACTACACACTAGTACCATTTCCAGTACTTTTCACCAATCAAACCTCGCCCCCCCCCCTCTCACCATAATACCACTCTCATGCCATCGCCATTAAATATAAAAATATTTTAATGTGTACTTGAAAATTGAAACAATTTAGTCCGATTCTTTAATGGTTGACTTCCTTGTAGTAGAAGACTCCAGCTCGGGTCGCACGCGTTCACCAGCACAAAACAGTTGATGGAACGTTTGCCTGTACTTGGAGCTCATCGTATAGTACAGCACGATATTCACACTGGAGTTGATGGCGTCGAACAGGAAACCAAAGGACCAGGCGATGAAAAAAAAGTTGGCGTATCGCCCGATCACACTGAATCCTGGGACGGCGAATCCGACAACGCTGACGATTACAGACGGCGTGAAACAAACGATCAAGACGCCGGCGATAACGATTACCATGTTTATTGTTTTCTTGTCACGATTCGAGATATTGTCCGATTGCTTGTTGTCGAAAGTCGATTCCTTCCGCCATTTTGTTTTTCGTTTGAAGTTGATGACTAACATGGCGGTGAGGAGTATGACCACGATGAAAGAGGCCGTGATATAGATGGCGTAGAGGAGAAAGGTAAGCCCTTCAACCGATGGCCTGTCTGGAGTGAAGACTAGTCTAAGGAGGGTTCGGTTTGTGTCCGGATAAAACTTCCAGTCGATGTACATCGTTAGATACTCAGGCAGCAGAGACACGATCATGACGAAATAGATAAACCCCAGGGCCGATTTAGCTCTGCACGGTGTGACTAATTGTTTGACCCTGAGGGGGGCAATGATACACAGACATCTTTCAGCGGTGATGTACACGGTGACCCATGCGGTGATCCTCGCGTAACACCCGTGTGGCCATCCCCCGGTCAGATGCTGGACTTCCAAGGGCATCATGGGAACGTCCGATTGAAGGAAGAGTGGATTGAGGCACACGTTGAACCACAGAAGCGCCACGAGACTGCAGAGGTCAGAGATGGCCAGGGCCGTGAAGCTTATGTTCACAGTGTTGTTGAGGCCTTGTTTGCAGAATACGGCGATGTTGATGATGTTGGAGACGATGCCGAACACGCAAAACAAGTTACACAGGAACACGCTGATGACGAGTTCAAAAAGTAGTCGCACCTCGTCTGATACGATTCCATCTTGCACTACTTTATTTAAATAGTTGTTTTTGGTAACTGTTTCGAGAAGACTTTCTGTTTGCTCCATCCTCACTGCTCATTTGATAATACTTGAAGTTAAGAAATAAACGTTAAACATGTGACGTAGGTAAGAGTGTAGCTGCATACACAGATGTCCATATTTCAAAGATAACTTAACAAGAAAGTGTAGATAAGATCGTCTTGAACCTGCCCACTACTAATTTGTTGGTGTATAGAGTGATTAAGTTTGCAAATCCATGAGTATTGATTAGTAATTGAAAAGCCCGTCTTATGTTATATAGAACACCTCATTTTTTTCTTAGAAACATGTTTCTTAGAATTTGTATTGCTATGTGTGCCACTTAAAATAAAACATTGTACGCATAAAGTTATACATTTTGCCATTTTATCAGTGCGGTAATATATCTAATATTCTCTATAACTCTATTTGCAGCCTGTGAGATACTTTTGATGCATGTACTATAGTTTGATAATAATTACATTGCTTCAGCGTTTTGTGATCACATAATCAAACCACACAACTGTCATAGCCCGGGTAACAAATGGAATCTACTGGACTTCATGAAGACGCATTTCAAGGAAAGAAAATGTCACAACATTTTTTGTGGGTTTTTTTAATAACAACAGAGGACGTAGAAATTTGGAAGCTAGCATGCAAATGTCTCTTGGAAACTCTGCATGTGACAACTATGCAGACATATCGACTTTCCTTTAAAACAAATTAATAAAAAGTAAACTGCAGGGAGACGCAATCGTTCATTGACATTTCGAATGAGAAGAAAGAGAACTGTCAAGAAAAAACGCATTTTTTTTCTTCAAAGTCTTGTTACAAATTATTTAACTATGCTTTGTTTTTGTGAAATGTATTTTTTCATTTAGAACGAGAGACCTAATTTTATAGTAAGCACTTATATAGATTTTCATGTAAAAATGCATGTGATGATTAATTATAATTGTGATTGATGGGCAACTCCAGATAATTGAACACCTGATAATGAAAGTTTAATAAAAGTTCAACATGATGCTGACAAATGTTTATTTAAATATACACCTTGTAAACAGGGTGATCAATCATCGGTTTAATTAGGTGTTTCGTAGAGTTCAATACTTGACAAGTCTATGACGTAACTGTGTAGGAGGCGTGTCTTAAATCTAACTACTGCACGTGCCAGGAATACGCCCTTTTAAATACTTAAATAACGTCTTGTAATAGACATTGATTTTATTGTCTACTTTTATTAAGACAAACACATGTGTATGATGTAACGCGTCCAAACGGAGTAAGGCATAGCTCGATACGCTAATTGGAATAAAAAGACTGTGATTAGCCTGTCAAGAAAATTTTTCTCAGTTTCATAGTCAACTCATCTTGGATGATTTTAATGGGGTGCTTTCTATGAAACATCAAAGATTTAATCAGTACAGGGTAGTAGAAAAAATGGTTGTGATCAACGATCTCATCTGTACAGGGGAGTAGATGAAATGGTTGTGATCAACGATCTCATCTGTACAGGGGAGTTGTTGAGATGGGCATCTTACATTGACGCTTGTTTCATCAACTATGATTGTTGAGATAAAGACATTTTATGTATATTGTATAGAGGCATTCTTATTTAGGCACACGTACTAGATTCTTGATTGTTATTGGTGTTGAGAGCCCACACAGTTTAGATGCGTTTCATACTTGAAGTGTTAATCACCGGGCATCATAAGTGGATAAAAATCATTTCCATATAGTCTGAACATAACGTCAGCTTAAATAAAGGTGTGCGAGACAATGTTTGTTGTAACCAGTGCTGCGTTAAGGGTGTCTTAAGGGGTATAGGGCCCCGTGCGGCTAAATCTAGTGTGCAATAAAAACATCATTACTTATTTATTTATGCAATACTTAAATAAATATAAACATGTTTCGGAAAGGGTAAAAAAAAAAATCAGTCTTCGCCCTGTTCACAAGATGCCATTGGCACTGCCTAGATTATAAGTGTTATACTTTGTTCACACTTTAGCAGTGCCGTACTAAGAATAATTATTTAGAAAAGACATTTTTTGCGCGTTGTGAGGAGGATATTAAATTAATCAAGAATGTTCCAGAAATCTTTATATTGTTCTATGGGGATATTTAATTGACTCTTAAAAGCTTATTGAAATATCAGTTTTGTTTTATTCATTTCTATAATTTCCTGGGGATTTTCTTTAAACATGCTCATCATCCTACCAGGAACAAAATCCAAACGAGGAACAGGAACCGAAAGGGGAATAAGTAGACTGGAACCCACCGGTAACGCGATCCCATCGAATAACGGGGTCAAGTGACCCCACAGGGAAAAGAGGATCCTACCGGGAAACATGATCCCACCAGGATGGGGATCACAACGGGAAACGGGATAACACTGGTAAACGGGATACCGACAGGATCGGGAACCCACCGGGTTCGAGAACCAACCGGGATCGGGAACCCATTCAGATCAGAATAACGACAGGTTCGGGAACCGACCGTTATCGTGATACCACAGTTATCGGGATCCCACAATTATCTTGATTCAACCACGTCTGGATCCCACCGGGAAAGGGATCCCACCCGTATCGGGATCACAACTGTGAAAGGGGTTCCCACCGGTATGGGGATTCCATCGGCATTTGGATTCCACCGGGAAACAGGATCCCACCAGGATTATGATACAACTGGAATCGACATCACACCGTGAAACGGGATGACGACGGGATTGATAACCCACCGGTTTGGTAATCCACTGGGATCAAGATCCCACCGTATCGAGATCCAACCGGGAAACGGAATCGCACTAGGATTATGATACAACCGGGACTGGGATACAGATGGCATTGAGAACCCACAGGGGTCGAAATGCCGACTGGATCTGGATCCCACCGGTATTGGGATCCGAAGGGAACGGGATCACTCTGTATAACGGGATAAAATCAGAAAACGGGATCTTATGGGTGAATGGGATCCGACTGGAATCCATCTGGGAATGGGATCACGTCGGGGAACGAAATGTTCACAAAAGTTATTTGACATGTGTTTTTAGAGGAGGGAAATTAATTATTTAATTTTTATACTGTTATTATTTTTTTTTAAATTTTGTGCTTGATTTCAAAGTCAATTAAAAGGTTGTAGAAGTTATTTTTTTTTTTCGAATGCAACCCGCTCAATTTCAGATTTATTAGCTTGTAAACATATAAAATTTATCTTTTATAGTTATATAGCTATTAATTAGAAAATGTATGAAGATCAAAAGTTACACATCTCAGTATACCTAACTAACGAACCAATCTCATTTTACCTTAATAATAAACTCATCTTAGTATATATCAATAACGAATTCATCTTAGTATACTTATATTACGAATTAACTTAGTATACTAAACTAACTAATCTTTGTATATACCTAACTAACGAATTCAACTTAGTATACTTAAGTAACGAATTCAACTTAGAATACTTAAGTAATGAACTCATCTCAGTATACCTAACTAGCTCCTCTTGCTACACATTATTAACGAAATCATCTTTGTATACCTAACTAACGAACTCAATTTAGTGTACCTAACTAATGAATTCAACTTAGACTACCTAATTAACGAAATCAACGTATAATACCTAACTAACGAACTCATCTAAGTAAACCTAACCTACTAACTTATATTAGTTGGCCAAACCTAACAAGAACTCAACTTAGTATTGACATGCTATGACATAAACAGAGAAATATTCAAAGAGATTACAAACTCACACATGTGATAGCCATGCAAACAATAATACAAGTCTCAACATTAAGCCCTTCAGGTAGCCCCATAGTTATTTATATGAGAGGTATGCCCTCCACCTATTTGGTGCCGCATGGGCTAGAAGCCTAAATTACTTAAATGGCCCTAAGGTATCTCAATAATAATAAAATACTTTTTCAGTTGTTACCAATTTGAAAATAATGGGTACCACCTAGCTAGCTAGACGGGCCACCTTATGTATATACACAATACAGAAACAAATTATCGCGAGGTCAGTAGATTTCCAAAAATATTTAAGGCATATTTTGTCCCATTGAAACTCTTTAGTATTGACATATTATAAACATGGGGATATTTGAGGGAAAACAAAGTATACAACGCCTAAAAGAAAAGTATAGCGTATAAATCCTTCATCAAATGTAATACCAAGCCATGGGGGCGGGGCTGAAAATTTGACAAAATATTTATATCATAACGCACTTTACAGTGCCCGTCCCCACAATGCTCGGAATCGCACATCTTTTCACGCCCCTGAACTATATCTATAAGAATGAGCTAGAGTGACATAAAGCTAAAAGATGGAAACGATTTGGATACCATCGGATTCTTAAAAACAATTATTGTTATTTTCTATTATTTTACAGAACTCTAATAAATTTACATGCGCAAAAAAATATTATAAATCCGCTTTTATTTTAGCAAAATTTTAAGTTTTATTATTATAAATTTAAAATATATTCAAAGTAACAACTAAGGAACTTTTTATGCATTTTATCCGAATGTAAAAGTTATGAAAAAAAAATATTAATCAAAATCTGATGATCTAAGAATTGCATCTTAATCACATTTATCGGGAAAACCCAAATATCTGATATTCTTCTGGTTCTGGTTCTGGTAATGTTTCATTGCTGCATTCATGTACTGTCATCTTTGCAACGGTTGGGGATATGATGTTGCTATTCTAACAGTTCCTATCTGTTGCCAGGGCAGCCTTGAAGCTTTCGACCGATGTCGAGTTCACAGTGGAATCGTTCAGGTGTTCCATGCTATTATTGTGCGTGGGAAGAAAGATTGTTGATACTGCGCTGTGTTGCACTGAGGCACTTTGAAGCATTTGCTATTGTTTCTGGTGTAATTGTTTATGGGAATGTCAGTGGTGAAGTCAGTGTTCAGTGAGCGTTTTGCTCTGATCAATCTGCCCGGCTTCTGGGGGGTGAGGTACGTGCCTGCTGAAATGGCCGACACCAG